AAATATTTGAGCTTTAATTCATCTTACTTGCTGTAAGAAGTACTTTTTCTTAATACGTATGGCACAAGAGATATACTATTTCAGACATTTGATAATTGTTTGTTTTCTCCTATATGTAGTTATTGTGGATATAATTTATTTCATGTATATTAGTTACATACATGTATGTGATTTGATGTAATTGAATTGATAAATTCGTAAATAACCACATCTGTAAATACATGTACATATATCAATATTTAAAGGGATGTTGAACATATCAATATATCTAGGCTATTTTTCGGAGTTAATTAAGGCCTGATAAAAAATGTGTGTGTTGCAGGTAGCATGCCTACATAAATTAAGGTGGGGGGTTTTTTAATGGGGAGAGGGGTAAAATTGCATAAAATAATTGTTCTTTCTTTATGGAGTATAGTTATGTTTTTAGAACACTGATTAACAACCGAAATGCAGTATAACTCGCCAATTACAGACAAAAGGTTTAAAAACAAGAACAATAGAAAATCTTGATTTGATCAAAACGTTGTTCGGTTACCTGAAACACACATATTTTTGGCCTTGATAAGATGATTCTCACGAGGTTTCGATATATTCATAATTATTATATTTATTTGTTTCAGGTTTAAATGACTTGTATTAATATACATTTTAACTTCTTCTTAAATTTTCTATTAATTTGAATTTTGAAGATCACAATTAATTAAATACTTGAACTTTGTCTTCTTTGTCTTAAGGTAATAGGATTGTGTCACCATTTCTCAGTAGAATTTCTTCAAATTTTGTAGTTATATTGCTTTAAAGTAAAGAAAATTTTATGCCAATAATGAAAATGATACTGACATATTAGTATTGCATTAATGTATATCAATTTAATAAATGCTGAAATTGTGTAAAATTAATTCTCTATACACGATATAAAAATTGACATTTTATAAGAAAACCATATACACGTAGGAATTGCAGGTAAGAGTTATCTTAACAGTAGTGAAACAGGTAGCCGGTTTCCTGAATACAGACAAATGGACACATGTGACCTATTGATAAAAAATAAACTGAATTAATGCATGGATTGCTTTGAAATACTTTAATATTGAGAGAACACACTGTTCTGTCAATAATAAACATACAATATTCATCAGTTTAATATTAAACATTAGAATTTACGGAAATTGTGATACTGTCTCCTTACATTGGACTTTCAAATAGGGATGTACTTCCTGTTTCCGTTTATCAATACACTCCAATGACCTTAATTGATATAAAACCAGTAGTTCATAATAGTTGCATTCTAGAATGTGACCCATGTTATCAGTTTGGGCAGTCAGAGCCGTTACCTTTTTTTCCGATTGATTTTAGTTATAATAGTGGTACCGGTTTATGAGTAAATGACAACAAACCATGGTATTTCAACCTCCTACCAGCTTGACATATGGTGATTGAACTTTTTCTAGCATAATAAAGGCAGGAAAATACTCGTGCAATATAATATACTTTTTTCAATTCATTTTTTATACACTGTATCATCTACAGTATACATATTCCAACCCCGCCCCCCATGCAGCTAGTTCATACAGTTTTATATAGTCCGAATTATTCTGATGTTTTATCGACTTTTTTCAACCCACGCCCGGAGTGTACGATTTGTTTATAAAATATCAGTTGGAAGTGCGGTCCGGGCGCATATTTCCCGCATATTATAGAGGGCCGGAGTTCTGACGTTAATCGACGACAGACCGATATAAAAAAAAGTCGATAAAACGTCAGAATAATTCGGACTAAGTTTTACATTGCTACACCTAGATAAGTAATATGAAACAGGCAATGCCTGAAAAGAGCGCAGCTTTTGTTTTAGTAAACTACAGTACCCTTATCTGGCAGCTTTAAATAATGTAAATAGAATCAGCATAGAAGGTAGGGCGTAAGAATTGTACCTGCTTCCCCCAATTGCATGATCGTAAGAGGCGACTAAATTTGGGACCTTATCTCTTCTCTCCTTTCTAAATAACTTTCTTCTTTCTAATGTCTCCCTTGACAATGCCTCACTTTTGGCCATTTGTTGAGCGTTCGCCCCTGTGAGGAAGGCTTTGGGTTCTGTTCCCTGGCCGAGACATACCAAAGTCTTTAAAAATGGTAGTTTATACTCCTGCTTAACGCTCAGCAAATTAGGAGTGGGACGACTGGTTCGCCCGTTGTCAGTATAATGTGACCGGGTGGGGCGTCCTGCTGGGTGTCTTCGGCAGTATGTTTCAGTGAGGTAGCACTATAAAGTCGGCATCAGTTCCGCGCTATCACAAGGAGACAAACACGAACATATCGCAGCCTCCCAAAA